CACACCTATGGACAATTTAGAATCACCAGTTAATGAAGCCGGAGAACCTGGAGAGAACCCACACTGCACAGGGAGAACATGGAGACTCCATGCAGAAAGATCCCGGGCGTCCTCACCGGGACATGAACCGGCGACCTTCTAGCTTGCAATGCTAACGACCTTGCAGCCCCAGATTCATTTCAGTGCAGTTCATATCGCAGTAATTCACAGCATTGCAATCTACCGGCATTTAAGATAACGAGGTGTGGACCTTGGACAATTAGAGAAAGAAACCCAACGAATGCAAAGATTCTCTTGAGCAGCACTGAGAAGAAACCTCCGGCAGAACTACAGGAGAGGGAAGACACAAGAGTTTTCCAGTGCATTATGGGAAACCCTCAGCTAAGGGAAGACTCGTGGTCGCCTGAGGCAGCTTTAACTAGAAGCTTTAACAGAAAGGAGGGTTTTAAGCCTAGTGGAGAGGATTGCTGCCCCCAGGATCCAAACTTGGTTCCACAGTAGATGTGATTGTGTTTCTGTTTTCTTGTTTTTTTTTATTTAAATGCAGCTTTTTTCTTGAACCCGATCTCTCATGAACCTGGGTACCGCCACCATGTCATCCACTGCCTGCCTTCAGTCCAGGTCTTGGATAGAAAAGGTGAGATTCAGAGGGACGTGTCTGGCCCACTATTTTTACTTACTTCATGCCACTTTAACAGCCTTTGTTTGCATTCGTTGTTGCTGTGAGTCAACAGCAAAGCACCTGTCTGTTGTGTTGTCAGAAGTGAAGCCAGCGGAGAGGAGAAGGTGCTTCCAGATGTATCACCAGGATCGCCATCGCCTCCTCCAGTCTGTGGCCTTTGGCAGACAGGAATCGTAGTCCGCAAAGACGGAGGAGATGCTCTCAGAGACCAGCACCTGTTGTTGTCATTACAAAGATGTCTCCCGCTGTTTCACTATTTCTGTCTGGTGCTAGAAATGCTTCGAAAATTAGCGCTGTAAAAAAAACGATGGTGAGGTCTGAGAAATACGAATGTCTTTTTCAAAGAGTTTTTATCGGGGGGGGACTAAACTCAGACGCAAAATGAAACACAAATGACCAAAACTGAGATCTAAAACACGACTCAAGAGGACCAGAATGACCCCTAAATACCCAAAACTGACCCCCAATAGATGACCAAACTGGCTACGACAGATTCAACTACCAGGAAGAGACGCAAAACACCTCCAGAGGGGACGCAAAGAAAGGCAACGAATCTGCAAGATGTGCGGTTGGAGACACAGAATGACTACAAATGGTTGTTTGTGGTCATTTTGCATCTCAGTCCCTGGGCTCTGCTCTGGGACGGAGAGCCTTTCACGCATCTGTATCCAGCATGAGGTTCGTCTACTATTCAGGAAACCATGTGAAAGCCGCATAAGATCATCACCGTCAGAGGAAATACACACATGAACGTCTACTCCAAACATCAGTGAAGTTGGTCTTTATTTAATGTAGCCGGACATGTCGGATGCCTTCAGGTCAAACAGAGCCTAACTGGACGCCATGTCGTCCCTCCAGCTGCTCTGTCCACTCACGCCGCACAAGAAACGAGAGGGAATATCGAACAAGCCGATGTTTTGTCTTCTTGTGCGACGACGTCTGAACCAACTGTTGGATTTTAGAGAACAAAAAAAACAAAAAAAAAAAACATTTTCATTTCGTTCTAATCTGGAAAATCCTGAGCGTTAACGTCACAATTCACGACACACTAAAAATAAACTCATGTTTAAGTCATTCATATTGAAAAATATACATTTTTTTTGGTCAACATTGTGCAGCCATGCTATCCACTCACGAGCTACCACGAGGCCATCGGTACAAAAGGAACGCCTCGATAACACGTCCAAGTATATCGCAAACAAACAAACAGCTCTGATTGGCTACGCAGTCACTTCCGTCCCCGCGCGGTTTGCTACAGTTTCTTAAGGCAGAATTTCGTCCCGTCGTGGATGTGAACCATCGGCTCTTCGTTTATGTTTCCTCCCAGTGACCTCTACCACAAACAGCCTACGCAGCGTTCACATTCACATACGACAACATCATCTGAAAAAATTAACTTAGTAAACGGACGAGAAGACGACAGCTGTGGCACAAACATTCCTTGTGTGGTTTAGTGTCCCCCTGCTCCGATGACAGTCTGAGGTTGATAATAAATATGGGCTCTTCTCTCCACCTGCACCAGTCTTTGCCTGGCTTTTAGTGTAACTGCGGTTTGGTCTCCGTGTGCGGTGTATGGATGTACTCTGGAGGAGGTCGGTCGGTCGGTGCCGTCGACTGTTAAGGCGCTCCTCAGTTGTCAGCAGCTGGGATGGAAGTAGGGTTTGAGGCTTCTGCTGCAGAGTCTAAGGCGGCGACCTCACTGTTGGCCTCCACTGAGAGCTCCTGCATGGAGTCCGTGGCCTCCTGCACCGCTGTAGTCTCCTCTGGAACACAAACACAACAAAGCATTTGAGGTTAAAGGCAGCATGATCGTTTTCTGTCATGATAGTTTAAAGAACTGGACTGTTACGGTCCATGGTTATGGTTATGTGGACTTGTGGAAGCGCAAACGGTACAAATGTAAACAAAGGAGGAGGAA